TTTAATAATCCTAATTTCTAAGTTGAAAGAAGAAATATTGGGTACCCTAATAAAGTTTATACTGATAGTTGGCCGTGACCAGGCCATTGAAAGGACAGGAATCTGTATTAAGCCCTCTTTTAAGCAACTTCACACACAAATAGTAGGCCTATGTGTTGTACCTTGAACTATATAAGTACAGATAGCCATGGGCTTATGAAAACTTTGTGAGAACAAAATTTTATTAAGAACATACACCATTTTAACCAGTGGCTATTGTTACACCAGTCTTAAACCAATTCCTAATTCTGTAAGGATGAATTATTGTATGGATTGGATTAGGGCAATAATGTCCAATCAGAATTAGGAAATTGTTTAGGACTGGTGTAACAATAACCAATGCTTAAAAAACTGCTAGCGTCAAGGTTTTTCCAAATTAGTTTGATCTGCAAGAAAGAAAGTGAATTGCCGCAGCATGCATCCTCTCGCAAGCAAGAGAAAAATGGGGGGGGGGGGGAAAAATCATCACAGAGATGTCAGTACGGGGAACATGTCAGCAAAACTATGGATAGCACATTAAGCAAATACAGTCAGATTTTTGAACGACAAAGTAAACAATCTCACTGGGGTCAAGGTTGAAGAGTTTTCTCACCTCACGTGGCTCTGATTTCACTAATTCTATCACCCTCATATAATTAAAAAGGATGTTGATTTAACCATGGACCTATTAATAGGTCCATGATTTAACTACATAACAATGTTTACAACATAATGTCAGCTAGTGCGAAACCAGTCGTCTATGCCTGGTCTACATGATGTCAGACTAACTCGCGTGCAAGAAAATGCAATGCTTTATAATCTGCGTACAATAGATAACATATACAGGAATCGATAATAGCAACCGTAACACTGAACATTGTCTGAATTTTGTATAATCATAAGGGCTTGAAACATTATAAAAATCTCCAAATTTGCTTCCATCACAGACCAAAGATAATTAAGAAATAGCATGCAAAATTTGAATTAATGCAATCCTAGTAGCTATTAACCATTAAATGTTCTAATTAGTATTGGTATTTATAGGTTATTTGCATACTTGAATTTGTGTCCTAAAATAAAAAATGTTTCAGATCACATTCAGCAGATTTGTACTTACGTCACTTGGAATACCATGTTATGGAAGTCCCGTACTAAAACATCCATGCTCGCATTCTCCCTAATAATCCCTAATAGTGTTTAATAATCCCTAATTTCTAAATTGAAAGAAGAAATATTGGGTACCCTAATAAAGTTTATACTGATAGTTGGCCATGACCAGGCCATGAAAGGACAGGAATCTGTATTAAGCCCTCTTTTAAGCAACTTCACACACAAATAGTAGGCCTATGTGTTGTACCTTGAACTATATAAGTACAGATAGCCATGGGCTTATGAAAACTTTGTGAGAACAAAATTTTATTAAGAACATACACCATTTTAACCAGTGGCTATTGTTACACCAGTCTTAAACCAATTCCTAATTCTGTAAGGATGAATTATTGTATGGATTGGATTAGGGCAATAATGTCCAATCAGAATTAGGAAATTGTTTAGGACTGGTGTAACAATAACCAATGCTTAAAAAACTGCTAGCGTCAAGGTTTCTCCAAATTAGTTTGATCTGCAAGAAAGAAAGTGAATTGCTGCAGCATGCATCCTCTCACAAGGCAAGAGAAAAATGGGGGGGGGGGGGAAAAAATCATCACAGAGATGTCAGTACGGGGAACATGTCAGCAAAACAGATTTTTGAACGACAAAGTAAACAATCTCACTGGGGTCAAGGTTGAAGAGTTTTCTCACCTCACGTGGCTCTGATTTCACTAATTCTACCACCCCCATATAATTAAAAAGGATGTTGATTTAACCATGGACCTATTATTATAGGTCGATGATTTAACTACATAACAATGTTTACAACATAATGTCAGCTAGTGCGAAGCCAGTCGTCTATGCCTGGTCTACATAATGTCAGACTAACTCGCGTGCAAGAAAATGCAATGCTTTATAATCTGCGTACAGTAGATAACATATACAGGAATCGATAATAGCAACCGTAACACTGAACATTGTCTGAATTTTGTATAATCATAAGAGCTTGAAACATTATAAAAATCTCCAAATTATCAATGCCTTCATTTTCTTGTGTAATTTCCTACAACATATCATCCTATATTTTCATAACATCAACCATAACACTGAACATTGTCTGATTTTTGTATAATCGTAAGGGCTTGAAACATTATTACTGTAGAAAAATCTCAAAAATCATCAATGTCTTCATTTTCCTATGTAATTTCCTACAATATATCATCCTATATTTTTTTGCCTGCAGGTTGTGGGCGCACTGATGCATTATGTGCATGCATCTAAACAATGCTTTTGGTCTATAACCTTATACTTGTACTTTATGAACAGTACTTTACTAAGAAAATCGGAAACTCGTGTACCATATATCATCAAGTGAATTCAAAGTGCATGACAGCTAGAAAAATATTGGCCTAAATATCAAATTTTACTTACTGGTTATTGTGTTTGTGTGAGGGAAAGTAATTTAAAAATGGAAGCTGAAGTACTGTACCGTACCTGAAGTGCTAGGTAGAAAAGTGCCTAAAAATTATGGCCTACATACAGTACATAAAAGACTCACCATTGTAGATACTTACTCTTATTATACTTCACTAATTACTAGTCACAAAATTTGGAACAAAGGCTGAAGCAAGGCTCCTAAATGTTCGCAAGAAATTAGGTTAAGGAAAAGATTACAGTATTGTACGCCCGTAATAAGTGGACTTTCTAGAGAGCGCCATTCCTTATTTTTGTAGCATGAAACCCTTCCTATTTATAATCCTCATCCTGCCTCATAATGATCAATAATACAGTGGTAGACAATTTACATACAAGCAACAATATATAGGAAGAAGGTTTGGAAGTGTAACAAAAACATGAGTATTCATGAGAATACATTCTGGTTACTCATTTCATCTGCTTAATGGATAAATATTGTGACCTTTGCATATTGTTTGACCGCGAGAAAAAAGCACTAGCCTTTTTACGTGCGAGTTGAACATGGAAAGTTTTGAACTGTTGGAAGAATAATTAAGATAGAAGACTTGTATTTTTAAATATCAAAAGTAAAGTAGTAAAATTAGTTAAATTTTTACGATCAACTTCTCATATTGTACATGCCAAGTTGGAAGTAGCTAGTGGCTTGAGATTTAAGAGGAAATAAGCCCATTTGATGTGGGTCGAGGGCCCACCTAGGGCCCAAAGAAATTTTGGGCATCTATATGCTCTCTGGTGCACTCTGAAATAGATCTCTAGTGCTCAAATAGAAATGACGTAATGTGACGATACTGGAACACAGTTTTGGAGGATTACCAGAAAAATAATTTATAAATTTTTAAAGCAAGTCTTATTACCGGACCGGGTAGACGAGATGTTTTGGCTTGCGGCCAGAAAGGCCACTGGCAGTTCCTATGTGAGGCGCAAGAAGGAAGGCCTTTGTCCTTCACTTTCCCCCAAAAACAGCAACGGAATTATTGAAGGTAGACTATTACATTTTTATGTATTTACCAGCCACTAAGACTTCTCTGCGATTATTCAAAAAATGATCCAGAATGCTTTTGCTGAGTATAGCTTGAATGCCTCCAATTATTAATAAAATGTTTACTTTATTATTAGATAATAATTAAAAACCTCAATCATGTATTTAGCCTAGTGATGCTAAATTTACAACCCAAAATGTATGGGATGACTGATCAGCCATGAACCTTATAATTTGGCCTAGGCCAATGGTTAAAAAAAAATTAAACCCCCAAACAACCCACAAACACAACTTCCTACCAAACGACCCTGAACTGCAATTGTCACTGACAACACTTTTTTTTCTACTGGTAATGAATGTCACCTAACCAATTGCGCTGAGCTTCAATGTTGCCAACGAAAACAAGAACAGTTGTGTACTCCAACGCACCGCTCTGCAAACTTTATACTTTGAACACGACCCATGGTTTGCAGACCCTTACTAATACTGCATAAAAACAGACTCAAATTCTACAGTCAAAAATAGTCATTTTTGTAAGTTTAAATGAAAATAAAAATACTTTAAAGTGATAGAAATACATACGATATACTGCATCAATCAAGAAGGTATAGAAACTTGCATCAATATGGCAGAATTACTGACATTATATCTAAAGGTCAGAGGTAATTATACTTGACCTGATAAAACAGAATGTCATTTTGTGACCTACATAAACACATGGGACACACCGTTATAAATTTAATTATTCTGTTAAAAATGTTATTGTATAATTAATTTTTTTAAAAGACAGATAATTTACATTAGTGCGCTGATTCTAAAACTTCAGTTATTTTTTTATCAATCTTATTCTTATTTAAACAGAAAATGTATTTAACACAAATAATGCTTCCTCCGTGTTCTGCTACCTCTTTAATTACTGTTACTGGTAGTAATCAATGTGCAGTTATCAACAATTATTTAATTTCAGAACCCAGCTAGCTATTTTAATCATTGGTGGCTCCTTTTGCAATCCCCGGAAAAGCATCTCATGACGTCAACATTGGGTTCAAGACTACGATTTCATTCACATTCTCCAAGTATGGACGCACCAATAATTGTCTTTACATGATATTAATAACAAAGATGACAAAGACAATGATGATGATGATGATGTCGATGATGATGATGATGTTGGTGATGATGACAAAAAAGCTAGAAAGGCGATAATATTAATGAAAATGATATCTTTATTATCGCTATTGTTAAACTGTGTCACTGATCAACACTCCAAAGTTGAGTAAAGGTAATATCCTCATCATCATTATCATTATCATTATCATCATCATTATCTTGATAATGATTGTGGATGTCAGTTTTCCAGAAGCTGACAATGATGAAATTTATAATGATGATGAATACAAAACATTACTTTGTTAAATAAAATATTTGAAGTTCTTACCTTGCGGGTGCATGCCCGCTAATGAGTTCATATTCATATCCATGTGGTTCTATTATCTGGGTGCACACTTCAGTGTACATATAATAGTAATCCAAATTCACTACTCAATTTTCAAGCAAGATTCCAAATCCAAAGTTCTGTTAAAGTCCTGTTGTTGCAGCAAAGTTACCATAAATTTTCAATATCCTTCAAACACACATTATAAAATATTCATTCAGGAAGAAACAATACCTGTAAAAAACAAGAAAGGGTCAGATTACAATTTAGGTTTAAACTAATACAATAATTTAATTTAATTTCTTTGCCACAGAGATGGTATCTAAACTTAATAGGATATGGTCCTGTCTCTTATACACATCTAGATGTGTATAAGAGACAGAGTACGGGGAACATATATATGAAAGATGAAGACTTTTCAGTTATATTAAAGCAAAATTTGATTGAGAAACTGAATACCAATCTACATAGCAATCTTGAAGCACACTGAGGTGAGGTTGATCTGTGGCCTTAGTTTGGTAGTTAAAAAAAAGATATTATGATAGAGGTGGTGTGCAGTACAGTATAAAGCTGGGGTGGGCATACAGTGGGTCAGAGGGCTATAAAGTGAATTTCTTACTTAACAGTGATAGCCGCAACCAACCTTCACAGTGTGTTTTCAAAAACTTTTATACAGCGTTATGCTCAGTTATAAAATTACTTTTTACAGATGACTGTTGTTGGGGCGTGAAAATCAAGGAGTTTTCTAGCCAAAGATGGTTGTTGGCCTCACACAGACTTTCTAATTTATTTTCGTGGGCTGCATCAAAACCACTGTTCAATGGCTTGTGGCCTGCACTTTGCCTACCTGTAGTATAATAGTAATCAGTAGTCTGCCTATGTTGAGGTTACAATAAACATGAACTTACAAAGAAACTAATTTAACTCTATTTGATTATTTTAATTGCTTATTTTGTACAACTTTCAAAAATTAGAACGAGAAATTATTTTCCCTCCAGTTAACACTGAACAGCTGTAGCACAAGTAAAAAAAAATTCTAAAACTAGTTATTTTCATTTCCTGATTATATTTTATAGCTTCTTTGATCTCTTTTCTTAAATTAGCATTTTCTTCAGATTGTACTACAGAGAGCATCTGCCAGAGCTGCAGTTCACCAGAATCTCAAGGGTTTCTCACGAATAAACCGCATTTCTTTGAACCATTTGGTGACCGGCTGGTTATAACAATTCAATAAAAGAAATCTGCCAAATATTGATGAAATTTTAATCAGAATATACTGTAGACTACAGAAAGGTCCACCGATTAATCTCAGATAAGATAGTATAATACATACCCCAAGTATCGAAATGCACGCCATCGTGTCGGGATTCAATATTTCGAATTAAGTATGTCATCAGGAATGAAAAATTATCCATATTTGCAAGCTTATATGCACAAGTACCAAAAGTGTACGACCAATCAAAACATTACCCCAGAAAGACTAAATTTTAGATATTAAAATGAAGACTACTGAATACTTTTCTTGAATAACCTTGAAGTAACGCCAAATAAAATGATTGCTAGTTTCACGTCCCAGTCCTCAAATTTTGGAGCCTTATAAACAAATTTTCAAACAAAATAATTTATTTTATTTGCCTAAAACTAAAAAATATTGAATTCTAGTATCAAATTTCAGCAATAATATCTTATTTTCTACTTAAAAATAAATATTTCAGTTTTTGTCTAATAATTTATGAACCAGTAATTCTCACCTTTACTCAGTTAAAACAAGGGAAAAAATCAGCAGTTACATGGTCAACTAGCTTTTACAAAATGTAAAAACTCCTGAAATTAGCACTAAGTAAAGGAACCAGTTTTAAGAAAATGCTGGGCCATGAACTAAAGAGATTTCTAGGACATGAGGTGTAATATACAATGGCAGTTATTGAACTACTGTGGATACAGATTATAAGATATAATACGATGATCCAGCCGGCATAGAAATCGTGCGTTACATTCATCGAAAGCTTCATTACTCAGGATCAGCACTTAAATCTTCAAAAGCTTCTGAACACTTTATTCCACTTCATCTTTACTCTCTACTCTAAAAAGCAACAACTTGCTGAACTATAGTAAAAAATAATACAGGAAGGTATTTTTTTTAATGAATAACAATAATATAAATATATGGCTACATAAATAGAAAAAGAGGGTGCTTCAGGCATAGAATAAAACATAAAAATAGCAATTAATGAACTAAAGGGAAAACAAGTGAACAGATGGTTATTGCCCCTAGCCTTAAAACAACCATAATATAATATTCTATCTACTTTATGTCATTCCAGATAATGCTATTTTTATCAACTATGAGAGCATCTATCTTAATTTTTTTTAATATTATAGATTGTGCTATTTCTTACAAAATGAAATGTAATTAATATAAAATTATTCTATTTCGTCAACATTGTATACTTAAAGTAAATTTAATACAATTTTGTAATTTTATAGACCATCCAAAATTATATATTTTTATAATGTTTAGCTTAAATTTCATTTAAGTAATTATGATAATTATATTATGAGAACTTTATATAGTATTTATGAAGTCAATATCAGACAAAATATACAGTAGTTGATTGGGTTTTTCTGCAATGCTATTCTAAAAAGCATTTTCCTTTATAAAAACATTAGGTTCTTGTTTTATTGCCATAATAAACTCAGACTCAGATTTAAACAAAAAGTTGTTTAATCATATTATGCTTGGCAGGAAAAAACAGCCCTTAAAGGAATGTGTAGGAGGAGTTGATGAGAAATGGGTTCACTGATGGAGGACAGGAAGCAATATTAAAGCTTTCCAAGAAACATGTAAAAGGTTAAAAGAGCATCTTGATAAATTCCAAAGACATACCATATCTGACCGGGGACACATTGCTAAATCTAGCTTTTGGAAATAACCATCCTTTTTCCCCTTATACTTTGTTGACAGATATTCCTTATAAAGACGTGATGCTCTTCCATAAAATATATTTTGATTGACATTAGAGATGCTATCAAAAGCAGAACTGCACGTGAATGAACTGAAGTTAACTGTGCTAAATGTGAGATGCAAGTGGATTATGATCACACCATGTCAGTGACTTTTACAAAAAAAAAATCTGTATGGGACTGATACTGCTAAAATAGGGTTAGTAGAGTGAGCATGAGATTCTAATAAGACAGAAGTAGGTTAAAGATGAAGCAACATTAATAGATGATTGAATTAATATGAGATAAAATAGAGAAGTTGAGGTATGAAGATGGGAGAATCCACTATGGAAGATAGTTGACTTTGATATCTGGTGCTAATAGGTATGGTGCTAATACTGTAGGTATGGTAATATGGAGATACAGTAAGATGGAGAAGATGAGGTTGGATGCAGGTATGAGAAATAACTACTGTAAGAGCTCAATACAGTAGATACAGCAGCTCAGAGCCGCCTCAGGGCCACCTTTTTACAAGTTGGAACAATCAATAAACTTTAAGCCAACCCACAGCCAAGATAAAGTTAGTCCGACTCATCTTCATATCTGAACGTACACCAAACCAGGGTCGAGAAGGTTGCTTTGATAGCGGTCTATTTTGACATCTTATACCATAACATTTCACGGAAAAAGCGCAAAGGAGGTAAGTGTGAAGATTCAGAGTGCCACCCTGAGCCAAGTTAAAATAACTTTAGATTCAGATGACTGTGTTGTTAACATGCACTTAAAAATCTGTTCCAAAAGATGGTGTGCTTTTTTATACTTGCATCTAAAGCTCTGCAGTTGAAACACATAGAGAGCAGTGGATAGAACTAAACCAGTGTACTAAAGGTTAAAAATTGATCTCCATAGTTCAGCACACAATGACTTCCACTAGTATAGCCAAATGAGATATGATGCTCAAATAGAAATAGGTAAGAAGAGGTTTGGCACAGAGGGTCTGGAACATTAAAAACAGCGAATTCTATCTTGTCCGTCCGTAACGCTCACATTTTCGCTGTTCTATTTTTGGTAACAATATCAATCCGCACAATTTTTTTTTTTGTAAGATAAGGTGTAAACTATTCTTGCATATGAAACATATAATGAATCAGCTAGTAGTGGCATAAAATGTTTTTGGAGAATTAAAATTGAAAGTGTCCGTCCGTAACGATGGATTATACTCTTATATCATAATAATCAAGTTAAGATAAGATGTAAAGTAATTATTTACCAATAAATAGAAAAGGTAAAATTGATTGCTAAGATCATGATGTTTACATCTTCTACTGTATATTAATTAATCTATTATCCTTGGATGTATTAGGTTTGGAATCAAAAAAGAGTAAAAGTGTTTTGAGTTGGAGTCTGAAATATGTGTCTTTGGGCAAGGCACTTTATCTTCAGCCCATCTCCATCCCAGGAGTATAGATTGGTACCTAATAGGATTTGATTTTGTAATGAAATTGGTCTGGAACATGAAATGGCTTTACTCCCCAGGGAATAGAAGAGGTTACACAATTATGTATGATTGTTTATGTATCAAATAACCAAGAGTAATAGATTCAGAAATAAGTATTTTTATTATAATCCTCAACAAACTAAAGTTCCATGATTAAAACAAACTGCCACTAGTAGTACTAGCTAGCGCCTAAGAAAAAAATCAATCAACTTTTTGGTAATGAGAAAAAAATTTGACGAATGTACTGTAGGCTGTTGAATTAGTAACCATTCTGGAAATAATATCGCTTTTAAAATTCTGAATACATATTAGCATGGCAAAAAAATTCAGCAAATATGTCAAGCAAATTAAGAAAACCATTTTGAGAATGACATACTGGCAAAAAACATGGCTTTAGAGCTTAGGTTTTAGGTTCGAGCAACATTCAAAAAAGGCAATTCAACAACAGGACGTACCACTCCGCTCGCGAACATAGTGTGTGCATGCAGTCTTGATCTTTACTGTGGCATCGACAATCTGATGCTAGTTGCGAGTACAGCCGTCAATTATTAGTATATGCATGCCATGTTTTATGGTGTTAGTTACTATTTTATTAATTTGGGGTACTTCGTACTGTCTGTTACATCTAATTTCTTTTGACCACAAGCTTGTTAAGTGCTTCTATAAACTACAATTTGATTCATGAAAATTGACCAACAAAATGAAAAGTTACAGCAAATTGAAATTTATTTATTTTTTCTGTAATGTGAGTCTAATGAACCACACTACGCCACAACATCGGTAAAAATAATGT